GGCAGCAATGGAACCTGCCAGCAATGGCTCCCGGGCGCGAGTCTTTCCAAGAAGCGATGCAAGAGGCGCCGCGCGAGCGCCCCAGAGTCCAGAGATACGCGATTGAGGAGGATCTGGCCGACAGCCACGATATTAACGGCTGCGACGAGAGCTGGCGCGACTGGGATTCCCGGGCTACCAGATTCGCTATCGCATGTGATTGCCATCCGTCGGTGGACGCGGTCATGGGCAGATACCTTCCGGATGAATCCACGAACGCAGTGTTCTTTTCAACGGTGTGCAACACTGCTGCGGGTGGACGCCCCGTCGAATTCCTGGAAACCCGGTCCACTGGAGAGACCGAGACCGTGACCGGAAGGCTGACTGCGTCGCCGACGTCACGATGGATAATGGCAACTCTTGGTGGGGAAGCCTTCAGTTGCTGCCTGGCCGCCGGCTATGCGATGCCGCGCTGGCGGCGCACCTGCCACGGCGGCCGCCGGGGGCTTGGATCCACGGCCGCCACGTAGATGAGATGTATATTTTTTCGGCCAGATAGTAGTGTTTTCACTGTTGCTATGGATGGAGCGCATTTTGGCGACAATGCGGCGATGTTTGTTTGATGCCGAAGCGCAGGTTCTTGTTGCATGTGTTGATTTCTTAGTTCACGCGCTCATCTGTTGAGAGCGAGCATGACCACGTTCCAACCAGGTTCGAACTGCCAAGTCGGGTCAAGGTGGGATTTTCCCTGCGCAGGAGAAATCGTCGAAAATGCGTTAGAAATCTTCCCTGTACTAATTGTTGACTGTTCTTCAGCATTTGTTGGGTTTTTGCTCGTCCAAAATCCGTCTGCAGGAGGACATGCTCGACCTAAAAATAGGACTGGCCGCGCGCGGCCATAGGCCGAAAAAAAGAAACGAGGAACACATAGATGCATTCAGCATGGCCCACCCTCGCGGCGCAGCACGCGCCCGTCAAAGGGCTCGGTGTGCGTCCGCGGCGACGCACGCTGCTCAGCCGTTGGTGATTGTGGTTGTGGTTCCAGTTTGCGCGAGCGGCCAACATCAGAAGGCACGCGAGGGGAACGAAGCAAACAAGTGGCACGCAAGAGACACTGGAGGATGCAGCTCGCGAGCAGGACGGGGAGAACAAGTATTAGATGACGCGAAACAAGCAATATGTGTAATTTTGTGTTTTGGTTGAGCAAAACAGGACAGCTGCGAGACGCAGGCAGGTATTAACTCCACGAGGCATCGTGACATTAATCCAAGATGTCGTGCTGGCGTATGAAAGCGCCTTGGCATGCGCTACGACCTGAGCGCGCGGTGCCCCCCGCATACATCACAAACATCTATATGTATGTATGTGTGTACGGGCGGATAGCTGTGCGTATGTATGTTTAGTTACACATATACCTATAGAGTCTAGAAGTAGAGAGCGAGAGAGAGAGAGAGAGAGAGAGAGAGAGAGAAAGAGAGAAACACAAACACAATTGGGAGGGTGAGAGGGAGAGAGGGAGAGAGAAGGAGCAACACATAACTAAATAAAGAAAGAGGGAGAGGGAGAGAGACACAGAGAAACATAGAAAGAGAGAGAGAGAGAGCGAGAGAGAAAGAGAGAAAGAGAGAGAGAGAGAGAGAAACCGAGTGCGGACGGGGTCCGTGCGAGCGACGGCCTACCAGCTACAACGCGCGCCCAGTTCCACTTTGGGTCGGGACCAAAACAGAGCGTAAGAGAGAGAGAGAGAGAGAGAAAAAAAGGACACGCATGGAGTTATATATGCAGTTACAGAAAGAGAGAGAGAGAGAGAGAGAGAGAGAGAGAGAGAGAACCACAACAAAGAGAAAACAAGCAAGAGAGAGGTAGAGAGAGATAGAGGTAGAGGAAGCAACGCCAACAATGATGTTCTGCGCATGTGCCGCAAGGGACAGACACGAACGGCCGACATGTCGCTGCTCCCTCCGCCCGAGGGGCGCCTGGGCCCCTCTCTCGGGCCGGACGAAAAAGGGGGGGATTGGGAAAAGGGGGGGTCACGAAATCTGCTGCGTGCAGCTGCTTTCGGCCCCGCCGAGGGGCCCACTCCTCGATGCATGGGCGCCCCCCTGGCGCCAGGAGGCGCTGGGAACATCAGCCATACGCGAGCTGATTCTCAAAACCCCCCCCTTTTGCCATCCCCCCCTCCGCCCAGCCCGAGAAGGGGGGGGGGGGCTTGCATAGAAATCGTGACCTCATCCAGGGTTGGCCAGGCCCGTTGGCGGGAGCGTTGGCTGGGACTGTTTCTTCCGATGGGTGGTCCTCGTGTCCACAGGGTGTTGTGAGTGGTGTGCAGCGGCGGTACCCTTTGTTGGGGGGGGGGCGACGCGTGCCTTTGCAGACGCACGCCCCGCGCTTGCGGAGCCCCCTCTTTGCCATTCCTCTGCGCCTCCAGCAGGAGTGAGACAAGCTTCAGGAGGGGAAAATCAGCACACACACACACACACAATTCATTGTCGATTCCCAGGAAAAGCTGGGAAAATATTGGAAAATATGGAAAAATCAGCTATACGTGAGCTGACTCTCAACACCCCCCTGTGCTATCCCCCCCTTTCGCCCGGCCCGCCCCCCCCCCCCCCGGGCCACCCGAGGGTGCGTTCTCCTCCGCCGTGGGCGCCGTGTTCGGCGCCGCCGCGCCGGAGGAGCCGCCGGCGCCGTGCCCGAAGGCCGGGGCCCCGCGGCGGTGGACGCCTACGATGGACAGGGGTGGAGGAGGAGGAGGAGGAGGAGGAGGAGGAGGAGGAGGAGGAGGAGGGGGAGGAGGAGGAGGGGGAGGAGGGGGAGACAAGCTAGGTGCGCTCGCGTCAACATCTGACATCCTACCCCTCCCTCCCATCCCTTCCCATTGAGCTACTTCATTGTCCTCTCACCGAATCGGGCTTCGCATCTGACCCTGTTACCTAAGAGGGAAAGGAGGAGGACGACGGCGCGATAAAAACGAAGACGACGACGACGAAGACGACGACGACGACGACAACCACGACGACGACGACGACGGCGGCGACAACGACGACGACGATGAGGACGACCGGCGACGAAGACGACGACGACGACGACGACGCGACCGCGCCGGAGCGGCACCCGCGCCAGCTGCCCGCTGCCGTTACGCGCGTCCCCCACCCGGATCTCAAATTTCTGCAGGGGTGAAAGGAGAGTAGCTTTCATATTGGGTAATGGTAGAGTGGGTCCGATGTCAGAGTTGTGCAAGTGCATTCATATTGAGTAATGGTAGAGGTAGAAATTGCCAATCGCGACAAAGACGCAGACGACGATGCAGGTGCATTCATATTGAGTACTGGTAGAGGTAGAAATTGCCAATCGCGACAAAGACGCAGACGACGACGGCGGCGGCGGCGAGGGAAGCGGCAGCGGGCGAGGACAGATGTCAGAGAAGAGGATGGAGGGCTGCCAGGCTCGATGGTCTGGCTTCCCTGGACAGTCGGCTCACACTGGGCCCGTGGACCCCTCACGGGGTCCGTGGACCCCACACGGGGTCCAGTCGGAGCGGCGTGGTCCAAACTAGGCCAAATCCTGCGCGGAAAAGGACGCCGCCCAAAAGGGGGGGGGGGGGCTTTCTGCGGCCCCAAAAATCAACGAATCGACACCGGATGTGTAATCACCTCCAATGTTTTTGCCGGGGATCATTTTCTAGATTTGGGGCTTCTTAAAAAGGATCGAAAACGTCGGCGCTGCAGCGGGAACACGTTTTGGAACAACGAGAGGCGCAGAAATTGGGCCAGCGCTGCAGCGGGAGCACGATTCGGAACGGGCGGGAGCGCGGAAGTGAGGCCAGCGCTGCAGCGGGAACACGATTTTCTCACCAACGCCACAGTCCCCCTATTTCCCCACCTCCTCTCCCCGTCACCCCCCTGCCTCCCTCCTCCACCCCGGAAAGAGCGGGAGCCCGAAAATTAGGCCAGCGCCTCAGCGAGAGCAGCATTTTAGAAAAAAACACAAGCGAAAACCCAACTCCGGGGAATCCTGTGTGTAAAAAAAGGGTACGCGGGGGGGTGCCGAACATCTTCCGGACGCCATCAGGGGAAGTGGGAGAGTAGTATTCATATTGTGTAATTGTGGAGGAGGAGGAGGAGATGAAGATGAGGAGGAGGAGGAGGAGGAGGACGACGACGAGGAGGAGGACGACGAGGACGACGAGGACGACGACGAGGACGGTCAGAGTAGGAGGTACCGATGTAGCGCTGCTCGTCCTGGAGGCACCTCGTCGCCACGGCTGGATTCTCCCCGAAGTTCCGGTCAGAGAGTACCCAGGGGAGGTCTAGGGATCTGTGGTATCGGCACCCTTGTTCTAGCCTCCCTACAGGAGATGGGAGGAGGATGGCCAGGAGGAGAAAGAGGAGGAGGCGGAGGAGGAGGAAGAGGAGGACGAGGAGGAGGTGGAAGAGGAGGAGGAGGAAGAGGAATAGGAGGAATAGGAGGAGGAGGAGGAGGAGGAGGAGGAGGAGGAGGAGGAGGAGGAGGAAGAGGAGAAACTGGAAGAGGAGGAGGAGGGCCGGGTTTTGTGCCTGGGGGGGCGTGTCAATTTCATCCAGGGCGAGCAGCTGGCAACTGGCCAGAGTGGATCTGGGAGGGGTCTGCAGGACCCAGACTCCACCACGTCGTGGACAGATCACAACAGCGGCAGATTTTCCGCTGTGGGCTTCCGCAGCCGCCGAACAAAGCCGGAAGATAAGTCAGTCCCAGCGGGTGTCTAGACCTTCGGGAGCCCATGCTGCGGAAACAACACATGTCACCGGTCTGGATTCGGAGGGGGAGGGGAAGCAGAGAGGATCAAACACCAGGGCTTCTGATACAGCCAACCCGCATAACAAGGCTGGGCATTCTTCCCAAGGGTACCCTTGCATCCTTGCCCCTTTGGCCCTTCGTTGGCCAGTTTCGCTGGCAGTGCCCCGCTCGGAGAGCCTCGACATGGCCTTCCAGGGCCCCTGCATCCTGACCGTGCGTCCTCATTAAACTGGTTGACTGGTATTATGGTCGGGAATCCTGTTATTTGTGTGTATTTATTGTAGTGGCCTCCGGCCAGTGCCGCCGATCCGGGGCGCTCCGGGTGCCTGTGGAAATGAACGACGACGAGGAAGACGAAAACGACCACGAAAACGAACACGTCGACGACGACGACGACGAGAGCGACGACGACGACGACCACGACGACGACGACGACGACGGCGATGACGACGACGACGCGAGCGACGACGACGATGTCCCAGGGCCCCTTCAGAGCTCAGAGGAGCAGCAGAGCCTGGCGCCGGACGCGCCCCCGCACTCCGTGCGGGGACGCCCGGCGACGCCCGAGGCTCTCTCTCGCGGGGCCCTGCCCCGTGCGGGCTCAGCCCTGACGGGGCCTCCGTCTCCGTCCCCCGCCGACGGGATCTCTTACCAGCCTCGAACGTATCCCTATTAAACTGGTTGACTGGCATTATGGTCGGGAATCCTGTTCTTCGTGTGTCCTTATTTGTGTGTCCCAGGGCCCCGTCAGAGCTCCTGCTGTGGACGCAGAGGAGCAGAGCCCGGCGCCGGACGTCCGCCCGCGCTCCGTGCGGGGACGCCCGGCGACGCCCGAGGCTCTCTCTCGCGGGGCCCTGCCCCGTGCGGGCGCTACCCCGACGGGACCTCCGTCCCATGCCCCGCCGACGGGATCTCTTGCCAGCCTCGAACGTATCCCTATCCCTAAGATTGACACGCCAGTCCTGGCCTTCTCTATAGATGCAAGGCCGGCGCCTTCTAAGAAGCAGCCTCCTTCTTAGGAGCCTTCCCCCCTCCCCCCTACCCCCTTGTGCGCGCCGCCAGCGCGCGCGCGCGACGGCGTCAACCTGCCCCGTCTGCCCCGCGCGAAGCCCATCTTGGAGACTCCTGGACGCTCCGCGCAACCCCGCCAGCCCATCCAGAAACGATGCCCAAACGAGTTGCCCTGATCAGGGGTGGGTAAGTTACCAGCCTCGAACGTATCCCTATCCCTAAGATTAACACGCCAAAAGGCGATGACAATCTCAGGGATCCGCCCTTCAAAAGTAAGGGCATCCCTCAGCTTGGCATCGTGATGATGAGGTGCCCAGCATAGGTACAGGGATATGTTCCAGGCTGGTAAGATCTGCGTCGAAGCATGGGAGCCTCGTGCACCCCCGTACAACTCTTCACGCTGCGCCCCTGCCTGCCCGGCATCCGACACGCGCCCCGTGCGCCTCTGCGTGCCCGAGAGTCTCCCTGCCAGCGCATGCAGAAACCCTGCCCCTCGGAGCTGGCGGGAAAAGTCAGCCACGCGCACAGGGGGGTGGGGGGAGGGGGGAGGGCCTCTTAGGAGCACCCCTGCTCCTCAGAATCCGCGGGCCTCCTCCACAGATGTTAAGGCCGGCGCCTTCTAGGAAGCAGCCGGCGCCTTCTAAGAAGCTCTCCCCCCTCCCCCCACCCCCTTTCAGGAGCGAACGAAGGACGTACACGTACATGAATCCACGCTGTCTTCGAGATTTCGCATTAGGCAAATATTCGCATCACGCGGCCGGTCTCGCGGGTCAAGGGGCCGTGTTCATGTACATAGTTGGGCGCGTACGTCCTTTGTGGGCTCCCTACCCTTGCGCGCGCCGCCGAACAAGGGACGAATGGGGCACATCCAGGGGATAAAAAGCGAGCAGAGGGGTGGCCTCGGAGGGCCTCCTCGGGCCATCCCTGGGCGCCGCGTGGGGGCGGGGAGGAGGAGGAGGAGGAGGAGGAGGAGGAGGAGGAGGAGAACGAGGAGGAGGAGGAGGAGGAGGACAAGGACGCGGACGAAAACGAGGACGAGGAGGATCTTGAACCCTCTTTGGAGCCTCTCGGGGGCCCTTGAGGGCATCTTGGGGACATTTTGGAGAGAGTCGATCAAATGAGGAGGGGTCTTCGATGTCGCCCCCCCCATCCCCCCCCCTCAAGAGCCCTCAGTGTCGCATCTTGGAACCATCTTCGCGCGCTTTTGGGGTGCCTTTGGGCCCTCTTGGGGCCGTCTTGGGGCCCTCTTGGGCCCACCTTGGAGCCTTCTTAGGGCTCTCTTGGGAGCCCTGGAGCGCCTCTTGGGGCCATCTTCGAGGGTATCGATTAAAGGAGGGGGGGTCCCGATCGAGCACCCCCCCTGGGGCCCTCAAAACTCTTTCTTGGAGCCGTCTTGGGCCCCTCTTTGGGCGCTATTGAGCGGTCTTGGGGCCGTCATAGGGGGCCTATTGGGCCCCTCTTGGGGCCTTCTTGAGCCATCTTGGGGCCATCTTGAGGCCTCAGAAGCGCGTCGGAAGCGAGACGGCGAGAAGTCAAACATCAGCAATTGTCCTCAGGTTTTTGGACGTCTCCTTCAGAGCACCTGGAGCCGTCTTGTGGTCATCTTGGGTCCTCTTGGAGGCGTGTTGTTAGCTATCTTGAGCCATGTCGGGCTGTCTTGACAATCTTGGAGGCCATCTTGGGCTCTCTGAGGCCCTCTTGGAGCCATCTTGAGGCCAGCTTGGACGCTCCAAC